ACTCATTTTATTTGCTAAGGAGGATCGGGTTTAAATTTAATAACCCGCGCAGCATCCCTAGGCGTCACGTGTGTACCAATAACACACTCGCCGGGGCCCATGCAAGTTAAGATTGCATTTTCCCCTTTAGTGTACCTATGTGTATACAAATTACAGTGCATGTGCAGGGGTACTTTAAAATATTTGTAGACGTCTTCTGTCTGCTTGTACGGAGGTTGCAGATCCGGTGACGTGGCGTAGCAACTTCTGAATTGAGTTGTTCGCTACTTCGTATAAGTAGACTGTCGTTCACTATTTGTTGATTTTTTATAGGTGGGTCATAGTGTACTAACTAATCTCCTACTTGGCTATAGATGATTGTATCTATTGCAGCGCTTCTGTATTCGCACACAAACAATTTGTTGTGTTAGATGCTATGTGATGACATGTTAAATGTTTATTTATTGAGAAATTGATGTATGTTGTACTTCTGTCCTTGTCTCTAAATTTAATTGAATGTCATTTTATCTACTAAATTATGACTCACCCTACTTATGGGACACTTTTTAGGAGAACCCGATAAAAGATAATGGCGGATAGACCACCATTTACGTACCGTTATAGAGAGATGACAAGCGACATATTCTTTCTTTTTGATTTTTTATATTTTAAGATAGGACTCATGATGAATTGTAAGGATTTTTTTTGATATTTTTTATGTTTTGAACATCTATGTTTTAATATTGATATGTTGAATGATAGATGAACAGAAAGAAAGAAAAATTTTACTTAGCTTTTTATATAGTGGCTATTTCTTTATGCATTGGAGATATTTTGATGTTGTAATGTGAAGGTTTTTAATTTCTACTATCTGACCTCCGTTCCCGTCTCGCTTATGCGAGCTTACCGGGCCGGGTCGTAACAAGTTAGGAATGTAATGTACCCACACATATAAATTGAAAAAAGGTCTTGGAAAAGGAAATGGAAAATGGAGCACCTTAATAGATATAATTAAGATGATGACTGCTATGATAGTTGTATTATTTACGAAAAAGATAAGATATTATATGGTATATAATATTAATGCTACAAAATCTATTGCAACATCAAAACTTTAAATTGAATTAATTGTTAAATAAAATTTTTATTGTTTTATAACAAACATGTATATTATTTCAATATTCCTTGTTCCGATTATTTGGAAACATGATACAGTTAGTTGTGACATAACTCATTAATATCACTTAATAAAACATGGAAAGAAACAAATGAGCTAAAGAAGAGTGAACGTATATTGTAGATGTGATATTATAAGAGAGATTTATTTTCAAAAGTCATATTGTTTTTTTCTTGAATAATGAATTTTGAGTTGTGGTAGCTCTTTCAATATGTAGGAAGTGAATGAAATTTTAAATATCCATTCGACCGTCAATTTCTGCTTCATTAATTAGAGCCTTCGGGCAAGATCATGATACTTACTCCTAAAAACAAGAAATGCTAATATTAAGAATATTGTGACTGGTATTACTATATCACTTGTGAGCAGTGACTGTATTTCTTAGCCTGGAAAAAAAATTATAACCTTTAAGGAAGCAGGATATTTTACGAGCATACTGATAAGACCAACTTGTTCTAATTTATTTGACACACATCCTATGTTGAAGATACTCCTCTTTTGTTATGCTTGGTCGGGGATTTGAAATCCACAGATGTCCCACATGCTCATAAACTAAACATCTACTCTGCTTGTGGGTTTTGCAATATGGAACAGGAATAAAAAAACCACTTATTCTTCGAATGCACTTACACATTCAACATCCTCACTCAATGCTTACCTTGGACGGCTACTTCCCTATTGTGCCCCAACGCCCTGCAAGTGTTACAACATATTAATAACTTATGGGTTGCATGTAAAATTGTATAACACCTCTATTATATCTCCACCTCTTGCTTAATCTATTTCATTTCGCATGAGATATATAAAATGTCACGACCCGACTCGGTAAGCTTGTATAGGTGAGGCAGGAACGAAAGTCAGACAGTAAAAAATAAAAATATTCACATTACATAAACAAAACACTTCAAACATAAAGAAAGAGTCACTATAAAATGTCAAGTGAAAATTTTCTTTCTATTTATTTATCATTCAATAATATCAACTTTAAAATATAGATGTTCAAAAAATAAAAAGAGATCCATAAATCTTTCCTTACAATTCGTCCTGAATCATTCTAACTCAAAATATCAAAAATCAAAAAGAATGAACCTGTTGTCCGTTGTCTCCCTACTACGGTATGTAAAGGGTGATATATCTGTCATTCTCATTTATCAGATTCTCCTGAAAGGTGCTTCATAAATAAGATGAGTCATAACTCAGTAGATAAAATGTCATTCAATTAAATTTAAAGGCAAGAAAAGAATTACAATATGCATCTACGTCTGAATAAATAAACATTTAACATATCATAACATATTATCTAAAGTGAAAATGTTTCTAAGTCAACCTTTAAGTTATCTTTCTTGCATAAACTTGCAATCATTTCTCTTTAAGCATTCATGACTCATTTGATGCCTCATATACATATAAGATAAAGACATAATATCATAATAGCATAATAGTAATCACTCGTCTTGGAAGTATCATTTGTACTGATCAGGTACATATTTAATTGGTCATCTTTACCATTTGATTCTAAAGAACCCTTTACCATTTGGCTCAAAAGAGTCCATTTACCATTGGCTCAAAAGAGCTTCTTTACCATTGATACTTCTACATCAAATATGCACATATAAACATTTCTTATTTATTCATAAAAGAGACTTTAGCATGACATTCATGTGTATGTTCTCATATGATATTACATGCTTGCTAATTAAATGAGAAAAGAGATATGCATATGTATATGTTGCATGTAAAAGAAGGCATATGTATTACATGAAAATAAAAGAAACATGAACTTTACCATTCTTTATTATCAATACATAAGAAATTTATTTTTGTATCATGTGATTATGAGCATTTATGTAAGAACATGCTAGCTATAAATGAAATTACAAAAAACATAAAAAATACCATTTTTACATGTTTGTATTTATAGCACTTTCTAAATTTAAAAAAATTTCATTTTACCTATCTCACCACGATGATTTTTCGAAAGTCCTATCGAGCTCTTTCCTTTATGCGATCAGTATCTAAAAGAGACATAACATAACGTGTAAATATTAGTTGTTCTCTCATAAACTTCTAAAAACCCTAATCTATGAATAAAGAACTCATCCATACATCATTCTTTTACTTTCTAAATGAACTCTTTTTTCCAATTCATGATAAATCTCATTCTTATTTTCTCTAAATTGGGATTTAATCATAATCTTAGCTTTTGAAAACCTCCCTCAATTCCTTTGCTTACCACCTGCATAAAGAACCTCTCTTACACTTAAACATAAATTAACATAGAATAATTTTTTTTGATTTTCTAAATTAAAAATTAGAAAAATAACATTTTGTGCAAAAGTCCTATTTCTTGCCTTTAAAAACATTCCTAAGCCTATTTGAAACCAATACACTTAAAAATTTTCATGATTTTGGAAAGTCCTAAACCTTAGAGCATGAAAATTTCTTCATAAAATTTAACTAACTTCATGTAAAAGCTCTAAAACATCATTAGAAAACTTTTACAAAGCCATTTTGAAAAAATACAAAAAATTGCAGAAAACCCTAATTTTTAAAAATCTAAATTTTTCAAGAAATCATCTCATTTTTGTGCTTAGAATCATCCTCTAAACCTTCCATATCCTTTTATCTTAAAGAGTTTTGAAATTTCTCTCAAATCGTAGATTTCTTTCTTGAGAAAACCCTATGGAAAATCATGAGAAAAAAGTTTATAAAAACTCACATTACCCTTCCTTTAGTCCTCCTTACAATTTCCCTTCAATCTTCCTCACAAACCGCCGTCGGAAACCGCCCCTAAGACTGTTGTTCATTTCTCCCCGTCGCCTCTTCTCTCCCTCTTTTGTTCCGTTCGGGCCACACGAGAGGAATGGGGACAGAAATATTTCGGTCCCCTAATAAGAGAGAATGCATCTCCCTAATTGCACAAAGTCTAAAATGCCCTCACTTATATTATCTCCACTTAATTGATATTAAGGGCAATCTTGTCACATAAAAAATTCTATGAATTTTAACTTCCAAAATACGAGAAATTCAATATGAGTTCTTTATACCGATTCGCTCAGAATTTTGCGTACTATTTTATAAAATTTATTGCGTCGAATTCTGACGACTTTGAAATTTTTCCTAATTTCATCACGGCGCATCGAAATGCATGCGACGCTGAAGATCGTTGTTTTTCGGGTTTTACATGAAAGACTTTTTGGCAACTCAACTTCTTGTTGTAGTATTCAACAATAAAATTTTAGAACAATTAAAACAAGATGATGCAGGACTAGAATTCTTAGATGATATTTGATGTAGGATTTTTGCACGTAGTCCTGCATCACAAAAGTTCACAATTGGGAAAAATTCCATGAAATTGAACATCTCCTGCTATAGTAGGCTTCTCGGTTGTATCGTTTTACTAGATGGCTGTTGATTTGGTTGGTTGCTCAGCTTGTTTTGTTGGGTTATTCGATTAAGGTTTTGGAGCAAGGACCATGTTGAAACATCACTTCCCAGCTTTGTTGATGCTTCTCTGAGCATGCTCATTCTCACCCACCAAAGCAACCTACAGGCAACCATGGAAGATGGTTCAACACAACTTGCGGATCCTGCTTTTGGTGAAGACTTTTGTATTCTAAGTCCGACATTTTATATTTTTGCTCCCCCTACTGACATATCATGTAATTATTTAAACAACTTTCTGGGGTTATTTTATTTTGTTATGACTACAGGTTCTCACTCGTAATTTTATCATTAATGTCAATGAAATGGGCTAAAGCCCTCAATTTTCCCAAAAAAAAATATATATTCAGATTAAGGACCACTTGCAGAGAAAATTGATTAGAACGCAAGTAGGACATACCTTTTTCTACATACCATTCTGGAGGAAGCCTCTCTCCTCCACTTCCGACACACACGTGAAAGCCTGGAAGTCTTGCAGCACCTAGGGTAAAGAAAAAGAAAGGTTAGGCATAAGAAAAGAAAAAGATACGCATAAGAAAAAGAAAAAATCAGAGCATGGAAAACAAAGCCACTTGGTCTTGTCATTGTAGGAAAATTTTGTCAACTAAATAAATAGAATGTGTTTTATTTGAGTAGACATTATAACAAGATGTCATTCTTGTTGCTAAATAACTTTGAATTCCGCAAATAAAATAAAACAACCAATTCATGTGCAAAATGAGGAAATATGAAGCTCTTACAAATAGATTCACGCAGCTGGACTGCATATATAAACCTCTAACAAATTGGGAAGACTCTTTCATGCTAATACAATTAAATGAAGTGAACTTACATTAAAATCATAAAATTATGTTTAGGGAAGAAAACTGTCACTTGAAACGTATAATTATTGGTGATGTTGTACAATCATCACTTAACAAATTATTAAAAAAGAAAGAGCAATAGGCACATAATGATGGAAAATAGTTGCACAACAGATATCGAAAATAAAAGGTAATGAAATACTAGAAAACATTTCGTGCATGGACATTGCTCGTTATTATAAGAACCGTCTTCTTGGAGAAACTCTCACAAAAAAACCTAACTCTTCCCACCCGCAACCTCCCATCTCCTCCCCTCCTCCAGCTTCACCAGAGGTCCCTCATCAAAGAAATCCTCACCTCCACCTCCATTGCTTTCTACCCATTTCAATAAGCAACCGCCACCACTAAATGCTCTAGATTTTCCCCCTCTACAATACATCATTAACCTTAACTCCATAGCCAGTTTAACTCCCATACCTCCTCTGCTAGAGATGGGCTCCATCGTTGCCCTTCTATATTCACTTAATTGGAAGAGTCTGCTTAACTCAAAAAACTCCTACACCAAGGATTTCTTTTTTTTTGAGAAAAGCATAATCTGCATTAAAAAGGAAAGCAAGCAAAAAAAACAACAACTACAAAGTAGATTCCTCCTTCATTATATTGATAAATGAAGGAGGAACCTCATCCAAAGTTAAGTCTTCCCAAATAAAACTACCAACCATAGCATAGCTAGCACACAAATCCGCTAGCTTATTGCTATCCCTCTTAATACATTTAAAAATAACATTATTGAACTCTTGAAAAAATTCAAAGTTTTCCATACCTTTGCTCCCTTGGTTTAATGCTTTATGAATAACTTTGATCACATTTGAGTTGTCACTCTCAATGATTGCTCCTTTGTATTTGAACATCCAATCCTTAGTCACATCTTTTAAAGATTTAATAGCAAGCATTTCCAATTGGTTTATGTCCCAATGAGTATAAGATTTACCAAAAGCCAATAAGAATCTCCCTTTG